AAGATCACCTTTGGTTCAACCACCCTACTACTTCCAGTTTTTCTCTCCCCCACTCAAACCACCTTGAAAAGATATTTTCATTGTGGAGCAAACTTTATTTCACAAACAAAAAAAGAGCACATTTGATACAAGTGATTTCCAGGGCCAGCCATTTCGTCTGTTCCCTTTGTTACTATAGCAGATATGTGTAATGAATAAGAGCCTTTTCCCCTCCCCTCTCATATTCCTCCCTATTCTAGCCTGCAGTGAAGTCACAATCCAGTGTTTGTAGACTCCATGTGATGTCACAGACTCAGCCTTGTGACTTCACTTGCAGGATCAGGCAGAAGGTGCAGACGGGGCTGAGAGAAGAGAAAAAAGCCCCCTCCTCTTTACTCCCACCCTCTTGGTTTATAAAACCAGTAGCTGAGATAAATCGGAAGGGGGTGGGGAGAAGCAGCAGGGAAAGCTGAGAATCATGCCAGAAAGGTACAGTAAATTGGCTTTATTTCTCTTCTTCTTGAAAGTTTAGAGTGTAAAATTGCCCTGCAGAGGCCAGATCTTGCAGACCACACGCGTGTGTGCCACCCAGTGACGCTCTGGCTGTACGGTGCATTCTCTGATAGCGTGTGTGGGGAGGGAGGCAGTGAGGGATGCAGGGTAGGGGCAGGGAAATCGCTTAATACCATTTCTCAGAGGAACGCAGCTGGAGTCCTATTTGGCTGGTCACAGTGAGCCTCTTTCTTGTCCATTTCAAAGGCCCCAGCTGCTGGCTGTTCCTTGCATTCTGTCTCTAGCTTTGAAACCGACATAAATGGGTTATTGGGTTTGTGGCTGTCGTGGCTTTTTTTTTTGGTTGTTGTGTGCGTGTGCTTTGCAGGTTCAGAGTGGTACCGGAGAAGAAGGGGGGGGGGGGACTGGTATTTGAATGTGGTTGGTGTATACATAAGGAGGGAGAAGGGCAGGGCCTCAGGGTCACATTTTCAAGAACTGTGATACATGATTCCTACTTTTTAATATCTCCATCTTTTTAACTGATGACAGCAAAATAGCATGTAGGTGCATCAGCAAAGAACTGCCTCAAAATGACAAGGGGGGGGGCTGGTTAACTTGCAGTTCCCTTTAGCAGTTTTTTCTGTGTCCAATTTGCCATTCATTTGAGATTTTGGACAAAGAAGGGGCAGTGGGTGGGCTGCTTTGAGTTTTGTGATATAATATGACTGGAGCGAGAGAGTAGAATGCAGACAATTAAGAAAGGAGCGAGGTCTTTGCTCATTCAGTCTGTTCAGGAAGCCGTCATTTTGTGTTAGTCTATGTGTCTGGAGGAGGAAGGATGGGGAGAGAGTGACAGTGAAAAGCTGTATGACACTGCGTTGTTTCTGTATTTATTAAATATACACTCAAGGGAAAAGGGACTTCCAAGGAAATCAGCAGAGAAGGGTGTCTGTCTAAAAATGACCCTGCACTGACTCACATTCAACTGGACTCTTATTGACAGTGATGTAGTGTTTTTGTTCTATTTTTAAAACGAAGCGCTGGAGACAGAAGATGCATGAAGGTGCTGTGCAAGTGCCTCTCTACCACAGCGCTGCCAATGCACCTCATTCTGATGACCAGCAGCATTTCTGCTATTCCATTCCTAGACCCTGATTGGCAGAGCTGTGTTCATCTCGTCCTGACAGTCTGCAGCATCCCTGCTATTCCATTTTCTGGTCCCCAGTGTGCTTCAGTCCTAATGACCTACAGCACCCCTTGCTTTTTTACAGTTGGACCCTCATGCACTTCTGCCAATACATCTCAGTCTTGATGAACAGCACCCCCTTGCACTTACAGATTTGGTCTTTTGTAGCAGAGATGTATAATTAATTGTGCAGCATTCTTGCAGTCTAAACAGACAGCTGGATTATCAGAAGAGATGCACTTACTGCATGGTTCTGAAAATATTTAATTCTGCAGATGTCTAGGAAAGGCTCTGCAGACCACAGTTTGAGAACCTCTGTGCTAATGTAACTTCAGAGGTTATCGGAGACAGGATTTGAATCCAGGTCTTCAGTGATGAAAAGCTATTGCACTGACCCCTCTGCATAACTAAATTTCATCTTCTCTTCCCCCCCCCGGATTGCTGATATAACCCCTCGTATTTCTTTTCATCTCTTCTCCTTCCCCTGGCATTCAAAGGGTCTTACTGGCCTCTCAGCGGAGTTGTGAAGATTTGTTAGTTAGATAGCAAAAGTGTTTTTACAAAGTGTTGTGTTGGTTCCTCTGAGCCATGACCAGTTATTAGCTCCGAAGTGGAGCCTAGAATCATACCTCACCACTCCGAGAACGAAGTCAAATGACCCGTCACTCCCCCAGGAAATCCACAGCTCTCTCATTTCTGCTGTTTTCCCTAAACGACAGAAGACTGATGCGTGGCAAAATCTAGGTGGGGCTGACTAGTGTATCTGCTGTAATCTATGTGTGGAGCCACAATGTGATTTGAGGAAAGAGAATATTGGAGGATGTGACCTAGCAGAGATTAGATATGGAAAAGAGTTAAACCTTGTCCTCTCCTCCGGGCAGTGCAGGATTGTTCCCCCCGTATATTCCTCTGGGCATTGTCCAAACCTGTTTCAAATGACTGAAGTCATAAGGCTTCCACCACTCTTTTTTGCTTTTCTCTGAATTCCCTTCAGTATGCTGACAGACATTCCTTGATATTGTACCCAGGGGTTATCCCCATCCCCTATTGGAAAATCAGAGGATTCAATCCCTTTCCTACGCAAAGGAAGGTTGCCAGGTGTCTTCTCTCACATTCATACACTGCTGTGAGGGAAGGAGGCAGGCTCCAGCTGGGCAGGAGATCTCAGTAAGAGGCTAAAAGCATTTGAGGTAAGGGAATTTCCCTCTTTCTGAGGAGGGGAAGTAATCAGGGAGCACATGCAAGGAGCTCTCTGAGAGCCAGAGAGAGCCCTGGGCAGGAGATGCCTGAATCCCCTGGAGAGCCTCCAGTGGCCGGTAAAGGGAAACTGAACAGATTGCTGCTGCTGCTGCTGCTGCCACCACCATCACCCATTCCCCCGCCCCTTCAATCCTGAAGAAAAAGACTTAGGCATTAAAGAAACCCCATTTCCTCGAGATACAATGCTAACTAATTCCTGAGGTGGTGACTACCTCTTTTCAGAAATGTTAGCAGAGCAAGACAGAACCTTGATCACCTGAATAAATGAATTAATTTTATCATAAGTTGTGAAGCAGAGCCATCATCAGGAAAGAACAATTCCCCCCTCTCTCAGTTCTTTTTCCCCACTGGTGGACTGGCTGGCTGCATCATGGGCTAGAATTCTGTGTTATAAGCATCGTCCTTGGGGAATATGCCTTCTCATAAGAACGGCCATACTGGGTCAGACCAAAGGCCCATCTAGCCCAGTATCCTGTCTTCCAACAGTGACCAATGCCAGGTGCCCCAGAGGGAATGAACAGAACAGGTAATCATCAAGTGAATCCATTCCCTGTCACACATTCCCAGCCTCTGGCAAACAGAAGCTAGGGACACCATTCCTGGCTTTTAGCCAGGATGGGCAGGGATGGTGTCCCTATTATAGTCTTGGCCTTCACAACATCCTCTGGCAAGGAGTTCCACAGGTTGACTGTGCACTCTGTGGAAAAAATACTTCATTTTGTTTGTTTTAAACCTGCTGTCTATTAATTTCATTTGGTGACCCCCTAGTTCTTATGTTATGATAAGGAGTAAATAACACTTCCTTATTAACTTTTTCCATACCAGTCATGATTTTATAGATCTCAATCATATTACCACTTAGTAGTCTCTTTTCCAAGCTGAAAAGTCCCAATATTATTATTCTCTCCTCATACGGAAGCCGTTCCATACCCCTAATAATTTTTGTTACCCTTTTCTGAACCTTTTCCAATTCCAATATAGCTTTTTTGAGATGGGGCGACTACATCTGTACACAGTATTCAAGATGTGGGCATACCATGGGTTTATATAGAGGCAATATGATATTTTCTGTCTTATTATCTATCCCTTTCCTAATGATTCGCAACATTCTGTTTGTTTTTTTGAATGCCACTGCACATTGAGTGGATGTTTTCAGAGATCTATCCACAATGACTCCCAAGATCTCTTTCTTGAGTGGTAACAGCTAATTTAGACCCCATCATTTTATACGTATAGTTGGGATTATGTTTTCCAATGTGCATTACTTTGCATTTATCAACATTGAATTTCATCTGCCATTTTGTTGCCCAGTCACCTAGTTTTGAGAGATCCTTTTGTAGCTCTTCGCAGCCTGCCTGGGTCTTAACTATCTTGAGTAGTTTTGTATCATCTGCAAATTTTGCCACCTCACTGTTTACCCCTTTTTCCAGATCATTTATGAATATGTTGAATAGGACTGGTCCCTGTACAGACCTCTGGGGGACACCACTATTTACCTCTCTCCATTCTGAAAACTGCCCATTTATTCCTACACTTTGTTTCCTAACTTTTAACCAGTTACCAATCCATAAGAGGACCTTCCCTCTTATTCCATGACAGTTTACTTTGCTTAAGAGCCTTTAGTGAGGGACCTTGTCAAAGGTTTTCTGAAAATCTAAGTACACTATAGCCACTGGATCCCCCTTGGGCACATGCTTGTTGACCCCCTCAAAAAATTCCAGTAGATTGGTGAAGCATGATTTCCCTTTACTAAAACCATGTTGACTCTTCCCCAATAAATTATGTTCATCTTTGTGTCTGACAATTTTGTTCTTTACTATAGTTTCAACCAATTTGCCCGGTACTGAAGTCAGGCTTACTGGCCTGTAATTAGCAGGATCACCTCTGGAGCCCTTTTTAAAAATTGGCGTCACATTAGCTATCCTCCAGTCATTTGGTATAGAAGCTGATATAAATGATAGGTTACAGACTACAGTTAGTAGTTCTGCGATTTCACATTTGAGTTCCTTCAGAACTCTTGGGTAAATACCATCTGTTCCTGGTGACTTATTACTGTTTAGTTTATCAATTTGTTCCCAAACCTCTTCTAATGACACCTCAGTCTGGGACAGTTCCTCAGATTTGTCACCTATATCATCCTCCAGGGATGATATATGCTTTCTCCCCACCCTGACATTCACAAAGGTCAGGTCCATATATATATATAATGAGTGTGAGTGCTGGGTTCAGGTCAGTGGTGCTGGTGGTTGTTCCTAGGACTGAATTTTTATTATTTCTGATCATTGGTCATGAAATCATTTGTGCTGCAGTGTTTTTTTTCTACCCTGGCAAATATGGAATTCTGGGCCTTAAACTTGGCTAAGACACGTGCAAACTCACTGAGGGCTTAATTTGAACTGTAGCTCCTCTTTTACTGGTGAAGATGCGTAAGATGGAAAGACCCCCGCTCAACATTCAGAACCTTGACCAAAAACTGCAGTACTGGCAATTTTAAACAAAACAAGAAACCCAACATTTTTCTTGTAGACAAAGTCTAATTGTTTCATAAACCTTTAAAGAAAAGTTAAATATCTGTCCCTCAGCTGAGACTACCTCTTCTGTCAAACTTTGCTCAGTCATTAGAGTCCCATGCACCTAGAAAAATAATTAGTTCCTATTTTCATCTCCAAGAGAAACAGTAATGACTATAGAAGCAAAGATTTATTATCTTAAAAATTAAGTCCAGTTAACTTAATTGGACTGTTTGTATATCCTCTTGAACCTGGAAGTAGGAACTTCCCATGATGTTACTAACAGCATGGGACTCTGATCTATGTGTAGGCAATGCTCCTAGGATAGTAGGTAATACTCATATTTTAAAATCAGGTCATTCTGATTACTGTTTTGCTCCATGTTCCTACTTCAGTTCCAGCATGATTTTAGAAGACTTTGCTGCTAAACTCTTAAGAGTCAGGGATTAATGGTTTTTGCAAATTGAGATTAGTGGCTTCAATACTGCATTGTTTCTAGCTCTTGCAGTTCTTGATGTAGCAGATATTAAAGTCAGTTGAATTTGAAGTTGTTGGGTTTGGGGTTTCTTGTGAAGGGTGGGGAAGATAAGGCATAAGGGAAATCAGAATATGTATTTTTTTTTTTTGGTCCAGTGTTTCATGAGTTACCGGAGTTACAAAATCCTGCTATATGTCATAACAAAACTGAAATTCATTGGAGCGTAACATTAGTTTCTGTCCCTGGAGGTTCCTGAGATTTATTGTATATCTAAATGGTCCTTCAGACTAGGCATAAGTATGGGTCACTTACTAGACAAGCCAAGGATACACAGCATCCAACAATCCTGGTCCAGTCCTATCCACCTTGCTTACCCTCCACCTCCTGCCATAAGCCTGTCTCAAATGCTTTGTAATGTACCTAAACTTCTGTAATTACATAGAAGTGGGGAGTCTGTTAAATACTAAGAGATCAGTGATGTGGAGAACCAACCCTAACCCTTCTTATAGAAAAAATACCCCCAAGGAAGTTTTTGATCATCTGATATTCAAAACAACTCTTGCATACATGTTGGAAGAAACCAGTGAGGGAATGGAAGTAAGAATCTAATCTCAACTGTCTCTAAAACTTGAGATCATATGTTACGGGGATTTAAAAATGAGGCGAGCCTGTCAAGTCTGGAAATTGCCACTCCCCTGTGGGCAGAAAAAAATCAACAAAGAAAACCCCTGTTAAAGGCAAACACATTTAAAAATCCCCTTTTATAAAACGTGCTCTGGCAAGGCAGAGTTGGTTTTCATAAGACTGTTTTAAGAGATGAGTGGTTCTTCTAATATTTTCTTCTTTTACTATTTTGATATGTTTAGTGATTCAGATAATGAGGATTTATTGATATAATGGTCTCTTCTGCCTCGCTGGAGAACGTCTTGCCAGTGAGCCATATATTTTGTATGGCTTACTATTTTAAATTCACACACTTAAAACATCTTCATGGATATGGGATCATTTTTCCTCAAAAGTTCAGCTCCTTTTGCTGGAGTCAGATTCCTTTGTCTGCGACATCAAAACCACTTCCACAGCAACCGAATTCTGATATTGCAAATGGAGGTTTCTGACAAGAAGTGAAGGGAATAAGCAGCAGAAGCTGAACAGATCTAAAGGAGGAAAAAAAAATCTTATTTTCATATGCTAGTTCCTTGTAAAAGCGAAAGATGGGGAGAGAGTAGTATTGGAATATAAAGTGATAGAAGCAGAATTGTTTTCTATATTTCAGTTTTTGACTTTTTTTCCTCCCATGACACCCACAATCAGCCACTTGCATCAGTTTCTCCTTAGGTATGCCCCAGAATTCTTCACTCTGGCTGATTTGATGTTGCAGCGATTGGACTGCAGGCCTCAGCACTGTGGCTTATGGTGTCTGGTGTCTGAAGGAGAGCCATTTCCAAGTGATGGACCAAGTCATGACCACCAGGTTGAGAGACTCTGCTCTACATAAAATATTTCCATGAAGAAGCTAGACTTTTTGATTTGTATCTTACGGGGAATCTAATGCCAGTGAATTAATGAGGGAGGAGCCCTCCAGGCTCTTACCAGAGTCCTGAGAGAGATTGAATACTGGTCTTCCCTCCAGTGGGTCAGATATAAGATGTTTTAGCTGAGTCACTGTGAAGGGAGTAGAAAGAAGGAATGGGAATAGTGCCAGAAAATACTAATGAATGCAGCCATACTGATGTCTCTCTCATTTCAAGACAGATGAACTGCTGTTGCTTTGAACTTGCCTAAAGAATTAGCTGTCCCACAACTAGTGTAAGTTTCAGTCCATGGTAGTGTGGTCTATATGTGACTAATCTTGCTGGCCTCTTTTGTATTCTATATCTAGCTTTTTCTCTGGTGCCCATCCCCATAGCATCTAAGTGCTATAGATAAAAGTTGTATCAGTGACGGAGAGAGCGTGTATACTACATGAAATAGAATGAAAGGGGAAATAATTTGATGGGATAAGGATGCTATTTTGGGGAGGTAATACAGTTTATGTGCCTGGGAGAAACCTGGCACAGCCACCTTTAATGTAGAAGTGTGTTAAACACCATTGTTTCAATCCTTTTTCTTCCCATAGATCGATACCCATGACTTTTGCGTGTGATTGTGACACCCCCTTCCCCAGCTCTTAATATATGTTACTGGAGTGTGGACATAACTGAATAACTACTGACCCATGGCTAGATCAGAATTGGTGACCTCAATGTCTAAGGGAGCCTATCCCATCTGCAGTTGTCAGTCCTCTCAGGGTAAGAAGGAATTTTCAAATCCCCATGGGAACTTGTGTCCTGTGAGAGACAGGAATGGGATTTGCAAGGTAAACCTGATATTAAAGTAGCAGATGGAGCCTGAGTATGCTAAAGCTGACCAGTGCTATTTACCCTGTGAACTTTGATGGCTGCAGTAGTAGGAGCAGGGAGAAATTTACTTGAGCCTTCAATGACTACTTAAATGCCTTTACTTTTCCCAGGATTCTTTGAGTCTCCATGCTAAAGGGTTCAAATGTTAGCTGTCATTTTGCCTCTCATCCCACCCTCATTTATATATAAGTATTCTCACACTGAGACTTCCTGATGGGGATGAAGAAAAAGGAATGTAAGGGGAAAGAGGCAGGATTTGGAGGGTAATAAATGGAGGGAAAGGGAGATGCCATTGTTGTCTATAGTTGATGTTGTGTAGACATTTGCACTAAAAGCAGGGACTTATGTCTTTCTTATGTATGTATAATATAATATATCCTCTCTGTGTACAGCACTTATTGTTGGAGTACAGAATTAATTTTCTGAGAATTTACAAGCAAATCTGTTGATTAGTTTGTTATATTAATTGTAAGATGCCCCTTTCAGAATTTTTTTTTGGTGAGTAATAATTTTTTGGCTCCACCTAACAAATCTTTTTGTTTTTGTTTTTGTTTTAAACTTTGAAAAGTGACTCGCTTCAAGTATAGATGGCCTTGATCCTGCAGTTAGATCTGCACAGGTGTAGGGTTTCAGCCACATGGATCTGATTACAGGACTCGGACCTAAGTGTCTTAATGGGTTTAATTTTTAATTATCTCTATTAGTCATAATTATTTCTATATTGAAATGATTGTAGTCAAATGGTTGTCATTCAGTGGATTCTGCAGAATCTAAGATTTCTTTCCTCTAAAGAAACAAAATTGTAGCTCTCAGTTGTGAAGAAAAACTTTATACACATCAACCAAATGTAAACTGATGCATGGTTGTCTTCCTGAGTATGCAGGCAGCCTAAAACAATATCACTGAGGAGTGAACTGCCCCATTCAGCTCACTAGGATCGTTAACTCTGAAACCTAAAGATAACCATTTAGAAGTCAATGTTGTTAACTACTTAATTGCTGATTATTTTAGCAGAAACAACCTGCTGATGTGATAAATGAGGCTTTGACACTTGTTATGAAATCTCTCATGGATGAGCAGCATAGTGCAAGTAGTTCTTGGACATAGCAAATACTTGCCATATCACCTTGGTAACTTTAATTAGCATAATTACAATGGATACTTATTCTAATACTTTACTTTACTATAAACCAACCCAGGTATCACCAGTGGCACATGTACCATAGTTTGAGTACTGCTGACAGTGTATCATCCCCAAATTTACAGCACATACTCTTTCTAAGCACAAAATGAATTTTATAAGAATAAGTAAATGTGTTGATTAGTTTGAGTTGCAAACGTTTAAAAATTACTCCTCCTTGTTTCTTTTGAAGCATCTGGTACTGGCCATTTCTGGAGAAAGGAATTCCCATATGGAATAAGATCAGTGTCCTCTAGTGCAGTATCATATGTTCCTAATTATTTTTTTCAGTGTAACTTTTTTTGCATCTTTAACAAAGAAATTCCTGATTTTTTTAGAAGATGACTCATAGATTGTTTATATGTTCATAAATCAAAAATATGCAGACCATATATAACTTTCTATTGAGGCTGATTTCTTGTAAAATTAATACATCTTAAACATCATGGCCTATAAATGGCTTTGTATTTTATGTATTTTAATATCTATAAAAAAAAATCCATCCTGTACTCTAAACTTTCAATCCAATTAATACCCCTCCCTCAAGATAACAGCCCTTATCATGGTCTTCCATCTCCAACAGGTTTTTAGCATCCTCTGAAAGGTCAACAAGATTTGGGCTATATCATACCAGGGAAAGGTAGGTTCCAAAGTGGAGTGTTCCTCATGGTGAAAACACTGCCAGAAGCTGTATCACAGGAGCTCCACTAACCCCCTTGTGTCAGTATCACTGGGAGAGAGGCATTTCTCATGGCATTTTTTCCCAAACCATTCAGGGGTTTATAGGTGAAGTCATTAAACTTTACCTAGAAACCAATGCAGATCAGAGCACTGGTGTAATGTGCTTCTGGAGAGATCCTGCTTCGTAAAATGGCTCCTGCCTTCTGAACAAACTGCAGTTTCCAGGTAGTTCATGTAGAGAGCATTGCAGTAATTTAATCTGAGGGAGATAAGGCATATATCTCAGTAGAAGGTTTGCATCAGAAAGAAACAGTTGCATGCTCCTGGCAAGTCAAAGATTGTGGGGAGAGACACTTTACCAAAAACTTTTGCTATATGATTAGGCATGGGAGAATTCGATTTTTATTTTGTATATAATTTTGATGGATAATATCAGTATTTGTTTTTAAGCATTTCTTATTATTTCACCCCCTATTTAAATTTTCACTGTTGGAAGAAATTTTGGGGGGAGGGAGGCAGACAATAATTATTTAATGACAGTACATGTTGAGCTTCAAAAAGTTAGATTTATAACTGTTAAATCACAAACTGTCAACATCATATGTCAAAACATACAAAGTAAATATCCTTAAATCCCACTCCAATAAGTTCTCAAGCCGCATTTCTTACTTTGCCTACCTGTAAATTTTTATTATTAATGGAAATACTTTCCATCAGTTTGTGTATGTGTACAGTTAAATTTACTTTGCTGACTTTTACCAATAAAAAGCTAATTCTTCCAATCCTATACATGGTAGTCTAACAGCAGCTGTGGATTCAGTAATACCCCCCAAATTGCTAACTCGAGTGACAAATGGTAGGCACTTATAATCAATAAAGTGGAGTAGATATTATATTGTCTGGTTGCCTCCCCCAATCTATTGCCACGACCTCAGTCTTACTTAGACTGCACTTCTGCCAGTTCCACCTATGCCCCAGTCTCACCCATAATCACTTGACAAGAGAATGCATTGTACAGTGTAATTTTGAAATTTGTACTGGCTGAGCTATAAGCAAGGGCCTACTTCCAGAGTAAGGCCTACAACAAGGGATGAAGACGGGCTAAGGTTCTTGGGAGCAGAGATTGGGGAAACTTAACTGAAACCATCATATCTGCTCTGTTAAACTCCTTCTAGAGAGATTAAATGATTGTATTTTCTTTGCTTAGCACTTAAAGATTTTCAGCCTGCCACTATCCTGCATTTTCACATGAAAAGCTATGAGTGGCAGATGGAGGAAGCTAGAGTGTCTCATAAAGCTTCCTTCACTGACATGCAAATTCTAAATGGAGAAGATGATTATCTGACAGGCTTTGCATCCCCGCTTCCCAGCTGGCCCCTCCAAGCTCCATGTTTCAGTCCCCTATACTAGCATGCTAATTTTTTGTAAACTAGGAAATACCCGCACAAAACCTTCAACTTACTGCTCAAGGGGGGAAGTGCACTTAAGGACCCTTAAATTAAAGATTTGTGTAGGTTTCAGAGTAGCAGCCGTGTTAGTCTGTATCCGCAAAAAGAAGAACAGGAGGACTTGTGGCACCTTAGAGACTAACAAATTTATTAGAGCATAAGCTTTCGTGGACTACAGCCCACTTCTTCGGATTTGTGTAGGATATTACAAGAGCATTTAAAAACTGTTTATTTCAAATTGGTTCTGAAAATAGTATAGCACTTCTGAAAGGGAAGAGCTGATACTACAGACTGAAGTCCTGTATAAAGCAGATAGGCTTTATGTACATTTTCCTCCTCCTCCCCTTTCAGGTCTGGTGGTGTACCTTAAATCTGAATTACACCCTCCTTAGTGCTTCCTGGGCTCTCTACAGCTCTACCACTGTACCCGCAATGTTGCTCTGCAGTACCTTGCTCATTAAAAAAGCACTGTACTTTAGGCCAAAATTTAGGGGTTAATGTATAATGCCCTAACTAGAAAATGTTATTGACCACTTTTGATTCCAATGAAAATGCACAGAAGTGAGCAATGTAGCTTTCATGTTGCAGCTGAGTGAGGTACAAAAAGTGATCAAACAGCATCAGTCAGATTCTAAAGTAACTCAGAAAAATCAGAGCTTTAAAAATTCCATAGTAATGTCACCTTAGCACAACTTACAAATGGAAAATTAGTTTTTTTTGTCAGGTAAAGGGGCAGCAGGAGCATGGCTGAAGGGCCTAGACCAGGCCCAGCCCGCATCCTCTTTTCATTTGGGGTTAGCGCTGGGAGCTCAGGAGGAATTTGCAGCAGCCTCCAGTCCCGAGTTTTACTGCGGACCTGTAAGGTAGGCCAGAACCACTGCTCCTACGAGTAAAGGCGGCTTAAAAGATCATTCTCACATAGTTCCCCAGCCTGTGCACGGCCTCGGGAGCCGAGTGTTAGCAAAGGGGCAGAGCCTTGGGAATACAGGGACGTGGGAACTGCTTGAAGAGCGCTGAAATGTGAGGGCCCGGGCTTCCTCCTAGCCCTGATTTCCTCTGCTAGGGCCCTGCACTAGTAATATTATGCGGCCCTGCCCGGCCAGAGCACACCCCCTTTCCCCCAGGAGCTCCCAGCGATTAGCGCCGCTGCTGCCGCCGGGCCACGTGGGTCTCGTTTTCCACCGAGCCACCTGCCTCGCCCAGGGCAGAGCTAGAGTCCAGGATCCCAGACTGGGCTGCGACTCCACTTGGGGCCGCTGCACCTAGCGTGAAAAGCACCAGCCGCCTCTGCCCCGGGGCTACCTAGGCACAGCGGTGGGGGCAAGGGGGTAGAGAGAGGAATCTGGTGCCGAGCTGCGCTACAGCCGCCGTCTGCTGGAGTCCCTCACCCACGGGGAAGTGGCACTAGCTGCCCCGAGCCAGTGGTGCGCCCGCCGGGTACTGGGTGGCGCGGCCCCTTTAAACGAGCGCGTGGTGGGGAAGGAGGTGTCTGCAGCCCCTACGCCCAGCACACACCTCGAGAGCGCGCGCGCACGCGCCGTCCTCCTCCTTGCCTCCCTGCCCGGGACCTGCCGCCGCCGCCTCGCGCTGCTCCCGCTGGCGCGCGCTGTTCCATCACCTCCCCATTGGCTGGGCGGGGTCAGCTGATCCTGTGTTATTTCCTGTGTGTGAGGGGAGAATGGAGCGAGAAACCCCCGAACCGCCGCCGCCGCGGAGCCCCCCCCGGCCCTGGAGCGGGGCCCCGCCGCCTGCGCCACTGAGAGACCCCGCCCCGCGCTCCCCCCTCCGCGCGGGAGAGGGAGGGTCGCAGGTAACGGATCCCTTAGTTGCTCTGAGGGGACCCTGCCCCGGAGGTGGGGGAGGGGGCGTGTGCGCGCGGGGGAGGGCGGTGGCGGGGCCCGGGGGGGATGATTCACAGCGTGCGGCCCAGTGGCTGTTAGCAGGGCCCGCCCCGCCCCCAGCGCCCCTTGACTGACGATAAAACCCCTGTTATACATAGTGGTGCCCAGGGACTCGGATGCGGGGGGGGGTAGGTTGAGGGGAAGGGGGGATGAGATGGGGCGTTGAGGGGGGATGGGAGGGGATAGGAAGGTTCTTCTGGTCTCACGCTCTTCAATTTTCTTTTTGAACGAAGAAGCCATTCTACTAAATCTGAAGTGCCCCGCACCTCTTTGCCTTCCGACCCCACAATAATGTTTTCTTTTAAGGCCAGTGAAGTTTGACGTGGGGGTGAATGTGGTGGGGTGGGGTGTTAATGATAAAAAAGAAGAGAGAGATGCACACTATATGCAAAGTGGAGGAGATGGGCTGTATTATGAATACATGAAGCATGTAGTTAGCAGCACCTTGTTGTTTTCTGGATGGGCAATCTAGAACCGATCACTCTCACAAGGTCTCATCAAAACAATGGGAAGGGGCTTTTATGAGGAATGGAGAGCATACTTCCTGAGTGTGTTGTGTTGATGCCCCTCCTTTTAGCTAGAAGTTGTATTTATGATCTTTTTTTCACAGAAAGTGCCTTATTCTATACCCACCATGGGAAAGAGAAAGTTATAATGTATTAAATATACAAGAGAGAAGGTAGGGGAAGATATATCTTTTATTGGACCAACTTTGTTACTGAAAGTTACAAGGATTTGAACTACACCAAGCTCTTTCTCAAGTTTGGGGAAGATCTGCTTCATTTCCCAGACCTTAAGAAGAACTTGGTGTAGCTCAAAACCATGTAGCTTCCATCAACAAAGTTGGTCCAATAAAAGAGATTTCATCACCAACCAACATTGTATTTTTCATATCCTGGGATCATCGTGGCTACCACACTGCAAACATTAACTATGCAAGTTAAGTAGGTAGGTTGTACTGGGATTCTGTTATTAAAAGGGTGGGGTGTGAATCAACAAGTGATCCATTGTGACAGAGTCAGGGGAAACTTTTCATCCAGGCAGCTTTCCCCCATGCCCTCCTGATTGTTCTCCATCCTTTTCCATACTCAGCACAACACTGGTGTCATGCCATGTTTAAGTGTAAATTGGAAGTGGCTTCTTATAGGCCCTGGGGGGTGCTCAACCCTCTGCTCTGCCCTGCCCCAGGCCCTGCCCCCTTCCCTCAAGCCCTTGTCCTGCCTCTTCCCAGCCCTGCTGTGCCCCAGGCCCTGCTCCACCCTGCCTCTTCCCACCCAGTCCCTCCCCCAAGCGCATCCTGTCCCCGCTCCTCCCCTTCCCTTCCAGTGCCTTCTGTATGCTGTGGAGGTGCTGGAAGGGAGGAGGAGGAGTTGATCAGTGGGGCTGGCAGGAGGTGCTGGAGGGGAGCTTCGCTACCTGTGATTGCTAAGCAGCCTCTAATGTTTTATGAACTGGCCTCATCTTTAGCCCTTGACATGACATCCCTTCCAGTAGGGGCGCTGGGGGGGGGTGCAGTTTGACTAGGCCACACCTTTGCTCTTTTCTGATGTATCCTTACTTGCTCTTTTATTTAAAAAGAGTTTGGGGGGGCTTAGAGATTTGGGAGTGGTATGCTCATATCCTTAGCAATTGAAACATGTTACAATCTGCTGACTCATCAGTGGATAACTGTAATGAGTTGTTGGTTCTTAGTACGTTTCCTAGTGGGCAGGTGCCCACACCACAGTCAGCTCTTTTGGCCAGTCTCAGTCAAGACTGAGTGGGCTAATGGAGGCTGAACTCCTTTCAAGTTAGGGTTCTGATGCATTAGCTGGGCCTTGTGTGAGAGAAGTTGTCTTCTTTTGGGGACTTTCAATATGGCACCTTTCACCATCACTGTGTTTTGTTTTGTTTTTTGTTTTCTTTAAAGGGTGGTTTTGAATTTTTCCTTTATTAAAGAGCTTATTGTACCTACCTTCTTTTTGGTTGAAGAGTTCTCTGAACCCAGCACCTTAAATGGGATTTCATATTTTTCTAACACAACTTGGATTATATGTATCTGTATTTTTGTTTACTGTATCTCCTCAGTGAGGTCACTTGGCATGACAAAAGAGGAGCAGTGACAGCCCTGTTGCTCTGTAGAGGGGACTGTGATGAGAAGAGGGTGTTTGGCTGGCAGGCTAGTCATGTATTCCTTGATTGATAAACTTTTGTTAAAGGTCTGAGGAAAGCAGAATAGCATTCAACCATTTCAGTAAACTCCAGGCCTTCAGAAAATGGATCACTTGTTTACCCATGACAGTGATTTGCAAATCTGATGTTACTTCTGAATAGTATTTTGACACCACCACTTAGATCAGAGTGTGTGACTCACAGCTATATAATCCCAGTAGGTGAGGACCACATTTACGTGTCAGCCCTCTTCCACATGATCTTGGAGAATCTGGTAGCCTTGTGTACCTGCTGTACTCTCAAACTCAGGTATCTGTGAGAAACGTTTGGATATTCTGACAAATTAGGTTCTCCCCAAACTGCCTGCTTATACATCCTGATGGTGCCCCATTGCATTTATTTCTCTGGTAGAAAGAGTTAAGTCTCTCTTTAACAAAATGTAAATTTGGACTTTGATCTTTAAATCAGGTTCCAGGGGCTTTAGGAATGATGGAACCTTTGTTTGTGCTAAAACCTGCACTTAAATGAACCTTTATGGTCCCTGGGCAGATCATAAAGGAAAGTCCCCAATGTGAAGAGACCAATCCCCTGCACTGGAGCACCTGAAGAGAGATTCTTTTTAAGGCGACCTAAAAAAACAGAAAAATAATTAGGTTTGTGCTTTTCTTGGTGCTTTGATACATAAGGAGAGCCTGCGGGGTGTTTGTAAGCAGGGTTTAAAATAAATTTTAGCTAAGGATTATTAGTAATGTCAAGTCTTACCTCCAATGGCATACTCATTGGAGATCTTATGTGTGTGGGGAGCTTTCTCAGCCCTTCATTGGCTAGGTGAAGTTACCCAACTTTTCTTCCAGCTCTTTGAAAAGATGTTCATGTTTGTTTAATCTATTTAAAAGTAACTTTATCAGTTAATTCAATTTCACCCATGATGTCTTGGTTCTGTTAGTTCTTCAGATATCTAGTCTTCAAGAAAAACAGATGGATAAGACCTGTTTTTTTCCTAAAGCAGAAACAAATCCTTTCATGCCTTTATACATTATTAAAAAGAAAAGCCGTGCATGGTCCTATTGTTTTTTTTCCCCCTTTGTAGGTCATCTTTAACTAAAGCCCTTGCAGAACTAAACGACAATGGGTGCTCTTCCTGGAAGGCCCATCCGTAGAATTTGTACTACACAATTCCTATTGCTACTGTTGCAGCTTGAAAGGTTACTATTTGAAATGAGGGTATAATATGCAATCACCTCAAACAGTTTTGCTTGACTTCCCTATAATGTGAGACACTTGGCTGGGGTATATCTAGGCAGTGATAGCTGGCTCATGCATATCTCTAGGGTGGCTATTTAATTAGAATGTATATTTTAGAAGAAAAAATCTAAAACTAGTTCAAGTAAACTTGATGTTTATGAAAAGCACTGGACTAAGGCCTTGGCTACAGTCGCCGATTCACAGCGCTGCAAGTACTCCACCTCTCCGAGGGGAATAGCTTGCAGTGCTGTGAGCGAGCGTGCAGTGCTGCAGGCGCTGATTACACTGGCGCTTTACAGCGCTGCACTCGCGCTCGGGGGTGTGTGTTTTTTCACACCCCTGAGCGCAGCAAGTGCAGCGCTGTGAATTGCCAGTGTAGCCAAGGCCTAAGTTTTAGAGCCTGAAGGTTTTTAGATAAACACAGCAACCCTCCCTTTCCACCACCACCATCACAGAACAGAGTCAGCAGTGCTAGTTGTGCTTCTGACCTGGTAATGAGAGGATTTATTTTTATGCTGTTTAGTCCTATGTTTGGCCTTTCCAAACGCTGAAATGTTAGATAGGGGCCATGCAAGGATCTAAATAGACTGTTGACTACTGCCAGTTGCAGTAGTGGCTTTTGAGATTTAGACTTTATTCACAAGTAGTTACTGAATTGAGATCAACCAGCTCTTCTTGTTCAAGTCAATTCATCAGTGGCAGTATTTTAATCACAATTATTCCATGTTGGATTTAACAGTCTCTTTGAAAATTTTACTGTTTTAGATGTGGACTTTTTTGTAATACTTTGGTAAATATGGCTTAAAACAATCTAAAATATTTTAGAACAGTTTTGTTTTGGTATCCCTTTTCAAGAGAACTTTTATATAATGGTCTTATGAAGTAAAGAGTTAATATGGGGAGCTAAGCAGAATCTAAACAGTGGGCTGTGCACGTATCCCTCTTAAACAGTGTTGCTACTGTGAAGAATAAGCACAACGTTCCCTACTTTTGACATCTTGAATGGCTGTGTACAACTTAGCTAACTTTTCTCAACCCTAAACTGCAGTACCCCTTACTCTCCTAGTCCTGGGTTCCCTTGCAGCCCTCCTGTTGGACCACAGTCTTGACCTATAGCATCCTGTGCTGTTCTGACCCTAAACTTCCATGGACAATTTGCCAGTACATCTCCATGCTAGTTTGCAGAGCCTGGCTGTTCCACTCCTTGCTCTCTTGAGCTGATCTTGTTAATTATATTAATTTGCTGTAGTTTTGTAACATCCAGGGTTGGGTACTAAGTTGAAACTTGCCAAGTTGCCATGAGTGATCTAAACACAAACCCAATGTGTACTTGAGCCTCATCCTCAACTCCCTTCACTCCTATCACCAACTCCCTTTGCAAACCAAAAGGCCATTACCTTTTAAAATCACAATGTGAAACATCAGGTACGCAAGGGTAAAGCAAGATATTCAGAACAACTTATGTTAATATATCAGTGCACTTGTGGAAACTGTCCAATCTTAAGGTGCGTGA